TTGACGCGGGGGCCCGTCCGACCCCAAAAAGGAGGCAGCGCGTCAGCAGCAGCCAGCAGGCAGCAGCAGCGGAGGCAGCAGCAGCGGAGGCAGCAGCAGCGGGAGCAGCAGCAGCAGCGGGACAGGGGCCTCTCCCGGGTCCTGCCCGCACTCCAAAGGAGAGGCTCTTGGCAGCGCCTGCTGCAGCTGCGACTGCTGCTGCCGCGCCTGCTGCTGCTGCCCGCACAGCAGCCGCTGCTGCAGCTGCTGCGACTGCTGCTGCCGCGCCTGCTGCTGCTGCCCGCACAGCAGCCACTGCTGCAGCTGCTGCTGCTGCTGCTGCTGCTGCTGCTTCGGATGTGTGCGAAGCAGCAGGAAGCGCGGCGCCAACTGCTGCGAGCAGCAGATCCTCCTCAAGGGCCCCTCGGCGAGGCCGAGCGGTGGGTCTTGCTGCTGCAGAGGCGGGGCCACTGCCTGCTGCAGAAACCCTAAACCCTCAAACCCTAAACTCTCAGGCCCTAAACCCTCGAGCTGCACCCCCCCAAGCCCCAAATCTCCGAGTTGCAAAGACAAGAGCAAGGGCAAAGGCCGTGCCCAAAGCTGCACAGCAGCCGCAGCAGGTGCAGCAAGAGCAGCAAGAGCAGCAAGAGCAGCAGCAGCAGCAGCAGCAAGAGCAGCGGAAGGAGGAGCTGACGGCAGCAGCAGAACCCGCCAAGAGAGCAGGACGGAAAGCAGCAGCAGCCAGAAGGGGCCCAAGACGAGGCGCAGGCAAATGAACTCCGAGCCTTTTGCTGCCAAGGCCCCTGTAGCCAGCTAGCTAGCTAGCCAGCCACTGGCTGGTTAGCTAGCTAGTGGCAGCTTGCTACCAAAGCTGTGGCTATCTAGCTAGCTGTCTAGAAGCGCTGGCCGCAAGAACCTGCTGCGCGGGTCCGCTAGCTGCTGCAGCAGTGGCTTGCTACCAAAGCTGTGGCTAGCTTTCTAGCTAGTTTTCTTGCTAGCTAGCCAGCTCTCAGGCTAGCTAGTTCGCTGTCTAGCTAGCTAGCTAGCTAGCTAGCTAGCTATTTAGAGGCGCCGGCTGCAAGGACCTGCTGGCTGGCACCGTGGCCCTCTCTGTGGTTAGCTGAGGGTCTGGCAGGAACTCCGCAGCGACGAGAACTTGAAAGTTTCACTTTGCCGATTTATGAATTCAGTTGAAAACGAATAACTGAAAAAGATAAATAAATTCAAATAAATGTAAATAAAGATAAATATAAATAGATATAAATATAAATAAATAAACAGCTGGCAGCAACGCACAGCAAACAAACCCGCCCGTCTTCGGGTCGGGCTGGCAGGCCGGCAGGCAGCCGCGGGTGGCTCATGTTGGAAAGTGCAAAGGGCTCATTGCTGCTGCTGCTGCTGCTGCTGCGTTTGGCGGTGTCAGTTTGCCTCTTGCAAGGGAGCAAGAGCAGCAGCAAACTGCAGCAGCAAGCAGATCAGCGCGGCGGAGCCTCGGCCGCGCTGCAGCGCGAAAGAGGAAAAGGAAAGCCAACGAAAAGTCCTGGAAAGCGCCTCTTTTAGAAGAATCGCGGGCCAAGTGGTAAAAAATAAATTATTTTAAATACTTTTGTTTATTTTTTTGAGTGTGTAGGGCCCTTTCTGCCCCGCGAGGAAAAAAGATGAACTCAAGAACACGCGAGAAGGAAAACCTTCAGTGCCGCGTGCGGCCACTGCCGCCGCAACACACCGAAGCAGCAGCACCTGCAGCAGCACCTGCAGCAGCACCTGCAGCAGCAGCTGCAGCAGGGTAAGCTGGAGCAGCAGCAGTTGTTGGTTGCGCAGCTTCTTCTCGCCGGCTTCTGGCCATCAAGCAGAGCTCCAGAAACCTGCAGAGACGCATGCGCAGCAGCAAACTCACGAGCTTTCCTGCAGCTGAATATGTGCAGAGAACTCAAAAGAAATAGTCCAAAGCCAATCTCAGAGTACGAGGGACTGGCGCTGCGACGCTCCAGGCTGCTGCAGCAGCAGCTGCAACTAGCAGCTGCAACAAGCAGCTGCAGAAGCAGCTGAAGAAGCAGCACGCAGCTTTGGGCAAAGCCAACAAGGGAAAAGAAGAATTCCTGAACTTGACTGAATAACTCCGTCTGTAATTGAGTAAACGAAACAAGAAGAGAAAAGACGAAAGACAAGACCGAAGCAAACCACGCGGGCGAACGCCTCACCGGTCACTCCCAGGAAGACTGCGCCAGCTGAAGCAGTTCTCTTGCGAAGCTGCACAAAGAGGCCAATTCAGTTCAACAGAAATGCAAAAGACGAGAAAATCAGCAAAGACAAGGCCAGAAAGAGAGAAACTGCCTCACAGCTGCGCTTTGCAAATAAGTTTCGCTGCCAGACTTCGTCAATTTCCCGCTTCTGCTTTCCACAGCGGTGAGACCCACAAGCTTTGGCTGCAGTTTTGTTGACTTGCGGCCTGAAAGAACACTCTTTCATTTCCTCCATTTCCCTGCAGAACCCTCGCCGCCAGCCAGAGACAGCAGCAAAAGACTTGCGGTGCAGCAGACACATGAAAGAGGCTTCTGGGTGCTTTCAAGAACTTTCTGCCCATCCGACCCACACAGGAAGCTGTGATCTAAAGAACGCTCCGAGTTGAAAGGCACATAGTCTCTGTCGAAGTGTTTGTTCGGGTTTGCTCTGGCATTTATGTTTGTTCTGGCATTTATCCGTTCTTATTCTGTTCCTTTTCTCGCGCTGTTTACATTTGCTTCAGTCTTTCCTGCCTCAGCGCGTCCTTGTTGCCCCTCTTCTTCTCTAACTCCTCGAGGTACCCCTTTTAGGGAAGCACACACAAAAGAAGTTGTTCTTTCAAGCCCTTCATCTTGGCTTTTTTCTGGTTTCAGATTTGCACTGGATCGCAAGCAGCTGCAGAGGCGCTCACTGAGAGGTTGGAGAGGAAAGACCGGCCCTGCTTGCACTTTGGCGTTTTTCGACCCTGAAGACGAACTCAAACACGCAAGTGCCTTCGCAAATATAAGTGGCAGCAGAATGTTTGCACTGAGAAGCCCGCACGCCTGTCCTGCGTTTCCCGTTGCATTCAACTCGTTTGGCCCCCCATCTGCTGCAGCTGCTGCTTAAAAACACTTTGCGCACCGATTTGGTCTCGAAATTCGGAGAAGAGCGAGTGGACTGCTGGCTGGAGCTCTCTTCGCTCTTGCTTTCCTTTTCGCTCCGCCTGCAACGCGAGCCGAGCAAGTTCGGGCGTGCAGATGAACTTGAATGTTACTTTCAGTCAACAAATGATATCCGAATGTTTTGTGTGCGCATTGGAATTTCTTTTCTGCACTGCTTATCCATTTTTACTCCTCCGTTCTCGTTCCAGCAGCGCGTCGGAGCTCGACGGCTTTAACGATTCGTCTTGATTTCTGAGACGCATACGCACCTCAAGTAGCCGCGCTTTTGACTTTGGCTGCGCTTTTCACTTTGGCTGCGCTGCAGCGGCTAAAACAGGATAAATATCTTCAAGAAAGGAAAGACACACTTCGCAGAGCGTGGGTCTGAAGGGCCAGTCGTGAGTCGCCGCGACTTGGCGGGATTTGAGCGCTGTCGGCCCTTTTGCCTGGAAAGCCCAAGAAAGCCTCAACTCAGAATTGGCGCGAAAGCTGAAGAAAATAAATCTGCAGGAGTCTCCCAACGAGGGCCAAGTCGGCGTGCCCAGAGCCAATCACTTGATGGCCAGTTTCAATAGAAGGCGGGGGTTTTGAAGCTGACAAAAATGCCTTTCACAGTGCCACTTAGTAAAATGGCACTGTGAAAGGCATTTTTGTTCCTGCGTTGTCTTGGCTTCACTTGTGCATGCAAGACTCACGAATTACTTACTGGGGGCCTAGTGACTGCGAGCAGTTCAGATCGTCTGCACAACTGGAGTTCGAAGGACTCATCGAGATCCTAATGCAAGAACCTCCCACAGCAAAGTTAACCAGTGCAAGCCATGAGACTGACAAGTGCTTTCCGTTTCTCGTTAAATTTCTGGCGAAGGGCCGTTTCAAAAGGCTCACTCTTTTCTCTTGCAATAGCTGGCGTCTGAGAGTCCGGGATAACAGATAAAAATTGAGTCTGAGTAGAAACAACCAAAAGGAACTTCCCGTTGCTTGAGAGTGCAGACTCAATATCTTTCGCCCACATCAAAAGAACCCCAGGAAAAGAAATAAGGAGGCATATAGGCTTTGAAACGAACTCTGAAGGGCAGTGGAATGAACTCTGAAAGACAGACGCGCCTCCCTCTCAGGAACTGGCTATTTTGAAAAGGGTGAAGTTTTGGATAGTGGAGCGAGGAAAGCATTGCTTGCTTGTAGGCCATGAGTGCAGTCACGATGCAAAAAACTGATTTACCGTTCTTGGAATGAAGGATAAGACCGCGTGGAACTACGAAGACTGCGTGCGGAATTCTTCACTTCCTCGACGGGTTCTGCTGCGCGCCAGTCAAAGGAACGCATGTTATTTCTACTGTGAACAAAAGCGAGGCAAAAAGTAATTGTATTGTTCCTGATCAGCCCTCAGTGAAGGCCACCTGCCTGCGGCTGTAGAGCAAGAGTGCAGAACGACGATGGCACGCCAGACTGCTGCAGGGGCCGCAGCATTTTGTTGCCAGCTCACTTGTGCTGGAGTCAGTTGTTGTCGGTTCTTGCACAAGACCTTTCCATTCCGTTGACTTCTTCGCCTTCCGCGCTTTTGCAAGATGTCTCGACCGAGCTAGAATTGTGGGCTGGAATGTGCAGAACTTGAATTCCTCTTCCAGTTTCTGAAGGAATTGTTGAATCTCTTTGTACACGAACGTTTGACCTACAGCGGGGCTAAAGCTTCTAGTGCAGTCGAATGGGCCAGTCTAAATAATGTGTTTTACCTCCTGCTTCTCTTGAAGAGCTTTCTGAATCCTAGATTGCCGCCGAGCAAATTCCTGGCACCGTACGCGGAAAGTTACAGAAATTAATCACAACACATATTGGTTTGCTGCCTTCCAATATGCGTCCATCGTTGATTGAATGCTCTGGTGATTTTCTGGTCAATTTAGTCATTCAGGCCAAAAAGACACTTACGCGGTCATAGTACGCGCGCATATCGATATTAGCTTTCCGATTCACCTGCGGAGATATACCTCAGTCAATTCAAGTCATTGCAGGACAGAGAAGACTGCCACAGGCTCCACTAAATGCGTATGACTGCTTGATGGCGCACCAGAGGAAGCCTCTCTTACTTCGCGTATTCTGGGAATGCCCCTCTCTACTTCATGTAGTATGCACTTCCTTCTTTCCCGATGCCACATCCTCTGTATTGCGGATTCGTACAGCCTCTGACAAGGGACAACGCCCTCGCACCTGCAGTGGGAACACCTCGCTGCAGCTGGATACGTAAAGGGACAGCTCTTAATGGCATAGCAACTATATGAAAAAGGTACAGGCGCCGTACCTTATCTGTTGTTCGGTTGTAAGACTCTGGCTCTGCTTTCCCCTCCCCATAGCGCTTGCCTGCACGGTATGATTGGTACAGAATCTTGGAAATCGCTGCACGCATTGCGGCTTTGTTTTTCCTGTGTAGTTAATGGTCTTTCTACCATTGAGTACGAGAGGGAGGAAAAGGCGTCAAGGCTTGAATCTAGGAGGGGTAAATTGATCATGGGCTGGCAGTCTGTGGCTAAGGAGATAGTCGGCTTGCATTCAAAATTATTCACGTGACAAGGAGGCAGCTAGGGTTTCAAAGCGTTTCGCCATTAATACTGGCTAGCTTTATTTGTTTGCACAAGTACACTTGCAAAAATTTCGAAGAAACGATTGACGCAAAACAAGCTGAAATTTTCGCTGGTAATATACTGAATTGATAAAAAAAAGATGCTTTTCCGTTCTTTTCATGTCTCACAATATAGTACAGCACGCCCTAATAAGAGATCGTGCATCTCCCATACAAGAGCTAGAGACCGATCCATCAGACCTTCATTTGAAATCTCATATTTCCTCACCCTTTGAGGGGGATTTTGATCATTAAGAGCTTTTTCTACCGGTTTTTGTCCCTGGAACTCTCTACTTTCCTGAACATTCTCGATTGCTGTATTAACTCTCAGGTTTGACTCTCCCATATTGGAGGTCACGCGCTGCTGCCGGCACATCCCACTATGATCCCCTCTAAAATTAATTGAAAAGAACGCATCCATAAAGGCTACACTTTTAGACTTCTCTCTTCACTCCATGGTGAGGAGCATTTAGTGCTTTCCAAAGGACAGCAACACTCCGGATCACCTCCCAGCACTACAGGACGTGTGCAGATTCGTGAGAATCCAAGCGCAAGCTTGGTGCATAATCACTGTTATTTAAAACAAGGTTACAAAAGTTTATGTCGTTACAACTGAGTTGAAACGTGGCAGATAGGCCTGACGACAAAAACCCAGCTGCATATGGTCTGTATGACTGAGCTGCTGCTACGGTAACTCCTTCTACGTAGGCTCGCTTCGCCTCAAAGTGCACATATACAAATAAAATGCATAAGATTAACAAAGGCCGGGCTTAGTTTGCACCAGCTTTCGGGGAGAGTGCTTGTGTTGGCTCTCCTTGCCCCAAGCACGAATGCAAGTCGGCCGCATTCGTTGAATATTTGGTTTCAGTCCAAAATTCAATAGCGTAGAAGAGAACGACCCTCAGGCCCAGTCCAATCTGAAAATTTTGTTCAAATTCTGTAACGAATAAGAAGATCAAAAACATCTTACATTCTACAGTCATGTACTTCGGTCTTGACTCGAACAAGCTGATACGCGCGCAGTAGCGATGAGTAAACCAGCATGAAATCGGCCTAATCAAGCGCCAACATACTGTTTTCCCTTCTCCACTGTGGCATGAAGAACCGGAATAGCCCGATCTGAAGCCATCAAGGCTGCCTCGTGGCCCTTCCGCCCTATGTCCATGGCTACTTCCTTTGTCTGCGCACAGGCTGATTAGATCACTGCTGGGACCCCTCAAAAGCCTATCTTTCTTACCTTTGAAGCGCATTCATGAACAGCACATTCAATGTTGCGGACGTTGTATCCAGCAGCCTCCATCTAAGCAAGCAAGCATGCTTCCGCTACCATAAGGTAGTGACGTAATCTACGTACATTTATTTTCGCTACATTCGCGATGGCAGCAATTTGAGCCAGCATTGCAGCCAACGTGACACAGTAGAAAAGCGGGGCAGATTCAGCGCAGAGGCCGATGGTCATGCTGAAGAGCCCGCTGACAGACCAGAAAGCCAACAGTGCCGGTATCGCAACGATGCCGGCAGATACTGCTGTAACGAGCAGTCCCTGTTATACGGCAGCTCTATGAGAACTGCCTGAATAGGAGAATATTGATGAAAACGTACTTCAGACATCAATTCCCTCGGCGACATCTCCCTTCTCGAGAGCCGGAATGCATTCTGTGAAGAGCATGGTGACCCTTTTATACACTTTCTGTTGCCGCAAATGCACAAACCTGAAGAACTTTGGGGCAGGACTTGAGAGCAAAATGAAGTGAAGCGGCTAGTGCTCCACAGAGGACGCCATTGACAATATTCCACTCCGACTTCGCGAGAAATGAAGGATAGATGAACGTGACATCACTATTCAGTAGCCTACCAGCTCTGGTCCGCAAACAGTGTTGGACAGTACCACACCTGAAAATAGATGAGATTAGTGCCGAGTGGCAAAGGAAAGTGGAGGATATTGTGTTACCTGATACAAGGCATACTCCACTGAGCACAGTGCTCGTGGAAAGCGCGAAGTCCGCGCTTTTCTTAAAGGCTTCCTCTTGAGCGTACATTTTCAATATAGTTTTTTTGCCTTTTAGAAATTCCTTGATTCAGACCACTGTGAATGCAAGATGCATCAGACTTGACAATAATTCACCTTCGCTGTTGTCAAGAAGTGACTCCAGGTGTACGGACATCCCACCTTCAAATGTGGTAAGAGCGGCGCCTTCGAACAGACCAGAAACCGTTAACAGACTCACATCAACAGTTTCTCATCCATTTTTATTTTGAGGCCCAGTACCCTCACGGATCTTCATTTTCACCAATTCGCGAAAATGTACGGCCAGGAGGAGACTTTTGCAAGGAGCTTTGACAAGGCCTGTTCTGCCTGCACCGTAGTTGCAGCAGTAAGCCTGGCCACAGGGCTCCTGTTCGCCAACAGCCTGTGCGACATGGATCTGGTAAGCAAGAACCATGCAATGGTTGTATCAACATAATTGACATCCTTTTGCAGTCAGAGTGGCACATTGTGAATGCAATTCTGTGCGGGTCTCTTGCGGCCGCTGCTCACTTCGCCACGAAAGTCAACCCCAGGGCTATGCAAGTAAGAACTAGTAAATGCAGCATTGTGCTCGGAACTCCGTTAATGTGCACTTCTCGAACCAGGCTGGATTCAGAGTATACAAGGCCGAAACTTCAATGCGCGAGCTCATGAGCGAAGTAAGGAAATACCATACTCAGCCCAACATCACTTGGCTACTAAAATTTTCCACCAGGGTCTCCTCTCCGCTGCGGCATCTGTGGCACTGGTCGCCTGCCCGGCACTTCTTCTCTTCTGGTAATATGAAGACTGAGCCGAATTCTTCCGTGTTGCTCTTCTACCCCGTTGCACAGGTCTGCTCGCGGATTTGCGAGTATGGGAGTGGGAATCTGCGCGGAGTCTTCACCCATGTTCTTCGCGATCTCCTTGTCCGTGATGTTGGCTGAAGCCGCAGCTCTTGTCTTCGTAGTTGGCCGCAACGTAAGAACACCATCAACCGGATGTGCGCGAAGGCAACTACATAACCGTCTCTGCAGCTCGAAGCAGCTGGCTATTCTCTTGACAAGCTCAAGTATCACGCCGAAATGCTGCTCTCCAGAGTAAGGCTTCTGACCACAGTGCGCATTGAATAGCTCTGCAAAATGTCTCGCCGCAGGTCAGGGACATAGCTTCCGACTGGAGCAGGAATGGCTATCATTACGTGATGCGCGCATCTGAGAATGTCATCCCAACACTGAGAGGAATGATACACTCTCTCCTCGAAATCCTGCACCGGTGAGTGTGATAAAGCTCTGGTTTCGTTGAACAAACCATCTTACATTTCCATCACCTTCGCAGTCTGTGGGAGCAAAGACCAAGATGGATGAATGCTTCCTGTAAGTGGCTTCACGTTCATATCAACGTTCCACACGCACTCATGTCCTACACTTCAGACTGGGCTGGCTCTGAGGGTTCATACCTCCTCCGCTAAATCAGACGTCCACCGTGATGTGGATAAACTTTCTATACAGACTATACTCTGAAAGCTAATCGTTTTCACGCTACTACCCAAAAGACATTCTATTCCAAAGCTTGCCAGTTTAGTCCGCACCAAAAAGCTGATGCCTAAGCGTTCCACTGTCAGCAAAGCTGTTTAGTACATTCGGTGCATCGCCATGAAGTAAAAACTACTTCAAACGAACACGGCAAATGCACGATATGTTGAGAGGTCGCGTCCGCCACTCTCTGATCCCCATAATGCGGCGCAAGGGACACTGTTGGCCAAGTCGCAGCGCACCCCCAACAGTGTATCGGCGCTGCATCGCAAATTCTGACCGAATGCTAAATCATCTGCGAGCTGCGCGATGATGACGACCTTCCGGTGAAGCCGACCTACGACGTTCGCGCCGACCTCTCCTGAAGCGCCAAACAAAACAGAAAAAATACCGACTATGGAAAATCCTGGCCACTACCCGACGACGGACTCATCGAAAGAGATATCCTCCCTACAAAAGCCGGCCAACTACGGATCCACGAAAGAAAAATCTGAGTGAATGAAATGGCCTACGTACGATCGTGAGCGCTCTCGTCCCACAGCTTTTACTTCACGATTATCCACACGGGCGTTCACATCATACGCTGCTCCAGCTCCACCAGTCCCTCCGTAGTAATCACAATATCCAACGTATCTGCGAACAAGCGAGAAATTCCGGCTTGCCTAAAAGGATCACACGTGAACCGTTGTTTTAGTGACCCAAAAGAGAAAGATGTAAATTCTACCATCTTACCTTCCATCCCCCCTGGGATCTTCGTATTGCTGCCACTTGCTGTCATATCCTGTCCTATCATACCCGCGAGCATCGTAGACCGGGGCCCCGCGTTCATATGGTGGCGCCCCCCGAGTGTCATATCCGCCTCGTCCTGCCCTCAGATCATATCCTCTCTCCATGCGCATATCATAGGGAAATTCCCCCGGGTTTGCATTTCTGAAGTCCGTGGGCGGCCGCGCATGGGCCGAATAGTCTATTCTGTCATAATACCGACCGGATGGGTCGTAGCCTCCCCTGGCACCCCAATCACGGTCCTCCCAACGCCCACCAGAATGACTACGCGTACCAGAACCGTAGTCCATTCCAAAAGGGCTAGGCGGTACAAACTCTCGGGACGCACCCGGTGCTACAGCATAATAAGGCAGGAAACCGGGCTTCAACCGTCCCGATTTATCGTACTTTATGCTGGCTCCTGCAAAAAAAGGAACGAGGTGCACAGAATGGAAGAGATGCCCGACCTAATAGTCCAAATGCATGATCGGCCGAAAAATATCCTCATAAAGTAGCGATTGAACATACCAGGTGGTCCCTTGTAAAAGCCAGGTGTAGGATTGTGCGGCTTATTGCGCTTTGCCCGTTCTACCCTCACAGGCCGTGAACCGTCACCAAAAATCGTCTTGTTGTCAAAGTGCTCTATTGCCACTGCAGCGTGACTTGGGTCAACGAATGACAGGAAAGCAAAGCCACGCGATTCCCTACATATCCACACACACAACATTTCTGTACTTGCCGGATGAAACGATCACTGTTCACCTGCACTTGAGGATGTTCTCTCGAAGCAAACGGCCGCTACTCGGAAAAAAGAGCATACCTGGATACCGGATTGTTTACAATTCTACAATCCTTCACCTCCCCAACCTCCTCGAAGATACGCCGAAGTTCCAGCGCTCCGCAGCGCAGAGGCAGATTGCTTATGTAAAGCGTATCCGTATCTCCTGCCGGGATAACAAGCACGTACACAACACCCAATGATCCAACTAATCCAAAGCAAAAAAGATGAAAACAAGCCGGTGGAAGGATCCATGAACACATTCCCGTAGGGAATATGTCGGCTCACTCTTCCGAAAACACCGCCAAACAAAGCACGAAAGGCGTACTTTTGATAAAGGTGCATAGAAGTCGCTGCCGCCAGGCTTTCAATGCCTTGATGCGGAAGCTGAAATGCAGCGTGTCTGCACTTGCCGGCGCTGCTGCATGGGGCAAGGCTGCAGTTAACTGCGGCACTGGTATGCTGTGGGTGATACTGCTGTCTAAGTACAAATGATTAGCTGTTGCACCTGCTGACACTGCTGCGTACCTCCTCGCTGCCGTGGGCGGGCGCCGCTGCCGCTACGACGTTGGCTGCCGAACCTCCTTTCGCCGCCATTGCACTCATCGCTGGCATCGTTGCGCTCCCTGTTGCTCTGCTGAACGTTCTCCTCAACCCGACCACAACTCCCGCTAGCCCTCCTCACATGGGAGATATCTCGGTTCTCTTCTTCCTGGCCGCCCGAATTACCCTCTGAAGGGCCATGGCTACCCCCTCGCTTTCTGCTTCGATCTCTGTCGCCCACCTCCTCATCCCTGCGTTCCCTTTCCTCAGATTCCATCCGTCCCTCACTCATCTTTACCACGGAGCAGATGAAAATTACGCGCGAAAAGATTCCCGCGCCCTGCTATCCGCCCGTGGCAAAGTTGGTGAAGACAAGCTTCAAGAGCCAAACCAATTGCGGCCTGTGAGGTGTGGGGATCACGATTGCTGCCGCAACAACTCCCTATTCTGGGAAAAAGAGGTAGCGCTGCAACTAGAGCTGCAAAAAGCGCAATATGGTGCATGCAATACCAAAAAGACCGGGATGAGCTGCACACTCCCCACCGGGTGCTTAAGCAGCAGGTGGAGGGTGCCAGCAGAAGCCACGCGTGCTTCAGCGTTCCTGCAAGAAGTGGAGTGCTTCAGCCGTTTTTCTGGTGTTCTTCACGGTAAAGAACACTCATAAATGAAAGGCACTAATATTGGGCGAAATTAATAAGTCGTTGCACAACTTATCGCTATATGGCGTATCCTGGGGCAAGGTATGCTGCATTTAGTGTATGGCTGGTGGGCACGGCTGCCGTTTGTTGCACCTTGCATCGCACTGCTGCTGCAGAGTCGGTGATGCCGGCGGTTTTTTAGCATCGGGCCCCCTTCTTTTTGCAGGGAATTCTCAAATTCAAGTTTTTGGTTCCACTTGATACCAGAAACTTATGCGAGAGGCACTCAGTGCGGGGCCGAGTTGCGTCGCAATCCTCGCGATGCGCTCAAAGCGCCTCCCCAATAGGGAACGTGGTTTGCTCCCCCGTCAGCAGTTGCCTCTGGGCCCTCAATTTGTCTCTGCATTTTTCATGGGACATTCTTGCCTAGGAAGCTCTTTTTAGAGGGCGCTGGAGGGCAGGCGACGCGTTTTTTCCGGTTTTCCCCGCGACGCGCAGGGCTAGGCTGCGGATGAAACAGCTTTGGCGTGAGGGCAGATACCCGAAAAACACATCCGAAGTGATGTGCTCTTGAATGCGGGGGTGCCTGAGAACAGGCTGTCGAAGGAATGCAGGTATACCCGGAGCCTGCCCCGCCCTCCCCTGCGGAGAACCTGCGCTGGCTGGAGGATCAGCTAGACGTGACGTACTCCCCTGTGTGCTGCTCCTATAATGCCGGAACAACTACCTTGCTCCTTCGGCTGCCAAGCGCGGCCTGGGGTGTCGGTGGTGTAGCCAGCGGCGGCGCAGCCAGCGGCGAGAAGAACAGTGGGGGTCGAGGACGTGATCCTTCGTTAGACGGCATGGGGTGGCGTAACGAGGGTGCCAGTGAGCAGAGCCTGGTGGATATATTCGGCCGCATTCACAGTCTAGATGCTCTGAAACTGCAGCGCCAACCCGGTTCCTGGGGCGCGGCAGACGCCGGGCTTGTGGACCTAGTGCTGCCCAAAGGCCAGGACAGTTGCAGCATCCCCCAGGGGAGCGACGTTGGTTTGCTGTCTCAAAGCGAGGAGACGGCCGTCTCGTGCGGTGGTGGGTCCACCAATGCGGAGCGTTCGGAGTCTTCCCTTTCCCCCGCGGAGTTCAAGCCGTGCGACGAAGCCTACAGTTTGCGCAGCTTCCTGAACTCGTGTTTCATGCTGCCGACGAGGAGAAAGCTGTCGGGGGGCTGGCGAAAGAAGACGAGTTCCTCCACAGAGTCCCAGCTGACGCGGGGCCCCGAGGCGGCGGCTCCGCGGGGGCTGCCGTTCCTGCAGTGGCGCAGCAGGTTTCCGAAGCTGGCGGCTGCGGGCTGCAGCGGCGCGGGGGGTGAGGGCTCTTCGGCGCAGAACAAGGGGAGTGGAGGCGGCGTGAGTTGCTTCTCCCGCTCGTTGGGGGGATATGCAAATCACCAGCGCGAGACGCGCGTTGGGGGGGAATTCGTGCAGCACGCGAGTCGTCTGTTGTCTCTGAGGAGGAAAGGCAAGCGCGGATCTGCAGACAGCGGAAGGGCCAACGTCACGTCGCCGCTGTCCATGGGGTCTGTGAGCTGATTTGATGATCGAGAAGAAGGGGAGTTGTCCTTCCGACAAAGCCGTGGAAGGATCAGTTGCCTCCATTCGTCCCGTCGCGAAGACCGCAAGCAAATGCTTGTCGCTGCAGTGCTGCTGCTGCTGGCAGAAAACCTTTGTCTTGGCACATGCTGTAGCGTAGCTGTGCCCAGCAACTGATGGGCTCGCCAGTAAACCACCTCGCTCTTGTGAATCACAGTGACGTAGTTGGCTAGGCAGGCGACCAGGCACCAGATTGGCCTGTCGAAACGAACAGTTCCTTCATGGGGGCGCGCAGCCCCCACTCCACCGCTGGGTGCCTCTTGGAGGTCGCTTGCCTTTCTCTGGCTGCTTGCTTCATCGTCAGTGTTTTTCTAGCCGGACTGGTCCAAGCGCGGACATTTGTAGCCAAAGCGCTACCTCAATGCACGGCAGTGGTGTTTGGTGCTTTGTTGCTCATTCCTAACGCGCAGGGGGTTAGCGAGGTGGGGGGACAATTTCGGCTTCAATTTTCTGCACAGTTGCGGTTTCGGGTGGAGTACTTGGAGTGTTCAGTTCTTTGTTGCCGAAGTAGCCAGGCCATTGTCGTGAACGTGTACAGTCTAGAGTGCAGTGATGGGATGGCCAACGTATTGTGGGCCCAGGGTCCGGAATTTGAGTGCACGGGATCCAATTTACTGTGAAGTAGATGTAGGGTTGTGTTGTAGCTGAGTCGGAGGAGGAATACGTCGTGAGAGAAACAGAGGATGTACGCTTTTCGTCATCGGATACAATGGATTCGCCGCGTCGTCGAGTCACGTAGTCTAGTCGTGAGGTTGCATCGAGCCAATCCAAATTTTAGATGCTGCAGACGGAAGCTATCGCGGAATAGTTGTGGGGGGTTAGCTCTTTCCTCTGTTTATCGCAGATTGAGGGTGAGCTCTGTGTTCCAAGGCATGCTGTCTTGAATGCAGGGAGGTGCTGCGTTGCGGTTCGGTTCGCGCCAATCGTGACTGAACAATGGCTCCCTTAGATGTATTGCGGCTGGGACTTTCATTTTTCTGAGGGAGGCACTTCAATTCATTGGATTTCTGTGCATCGGGACTACTCTGAGAGGCGCGCTTCGGAGAGCAGACAGCGAGCACCCAAACAGCGTGTGGTTCTTCCTGCCTACACTCATCTAACTGAGGAATTCGGTTCGGCGTGCTGCGTACATGGCGCATTAGAATATCGGAGGCTATCGGTATCTCTCGAGCTAGACACGGAGGGGAATATTTTGAGTATAGCTCTAGGCAGTGTATGAGAGTGAAGTGCCGGTCGCTACGCTGAAATACATTGTCTCATCGGGCACGTGTGACGGGGATACTGTCGGCTTAATGACAAATTTTCTCCATTATATGTTGAGTGACAGGTAGACTGTTCACATTGTTGAGGCATTTGAGGCTTCACAAGCTGTTTCAAAGCCCCATAAGGTCGATGCATGCGGAACATTCCGTAAAACACCTTGAAACTTCTCTGTCGCATAGAGGCAACGAGGAAGACGCCAATAGGGGGACAAATATCCGCTGCATTTCTTAACTGGGAAAGTGTTTCTTGTTGATAGATCTCCATGTACCTTGCGGCCAGCGTGAGGCGGTGGAGAAGGCACAGGCAACCCAATCGTTTATGTTTTGACTACGACAACTTTACCTTCTCGGCAATTATTTGAGAATAGAACACATAGTACTCAGCGTGAGAGTGCTGTCTATTGATTGAGGCCTTGGAAAGCCTTCATTTACGCGCTAGTTTCTCTCTTCATGGTCAAGACCACGTTAGGTCTTTTTTCCCCACTCTGGTCTCGATTTTCTCTATTCGTGGAATCTCAGAGATGCTAAATAAGGATGGCTTTCCCCTGCCGATGTCATTTGAGGCTTCACCAGAGGTGTTGCTCCTTTTCTCTTGGTGGCACGCCCGAACAAATGCTCAATACGCAGTGACCTGCGTTTGCTGCATTATCTTTGGATTCATCTCGATAGCGCTGAAGGTTCTGCGTCGCATCTCCGATGTCCGTCTAGCGATGATGGAAAATAGAAGCAAGCCGACGCTGTTGTTCGGCTGCTTCCCCGTCTTTCACAATGCCATACGTGGGTGCGTCACCTTCTTGAATTACTCCTGGGACTACATGTTGATGCTGGTAGCAATGACCTTCAACGTTGGCATCTTTGTTTCAATGCTAGGAGGGATGGCCTTAGGCTTCCTGACGATTGGCCGCTTCCTCGACTTGCCTTTTGAGCCGGCGAAAGTCAGCGGAGGGTGCGAATGCAACGAAACCCTGAGTTGCGGCTGCCACAAGGGCCGACCCTGCACTTGTGCGGCTTCCCAGCTAGTCGCTTCGTGCAGGCGAAGCAAAATGAGCTTCGGCGAGCAGCCAGTGCCTGAGCAAGGGGGTCCGTGCAAGTCCAACACGGACACAAAGTCAGAGTTCGCTGGAGTCTGAGGGTCACTGAATTTTGATTTCAGCTGATTTCTAATCGAACTCAACCAAGTTCCTTCCAAGTTTGGAAGGCTTCGGGTTCGGGCCTCACCTCGGCCGATGCGTCACTGCGTGGCGCCCTGGGGTCAGGGGCACCTGCCGGCAGCCGAGGTAGTCTAAGGCGGCTGCCCCGGCTTTTGTTTGTTTCATTCTGTCTTAATGTTTGCGTTGGTTGTAGCACCCAACGCGCTTCCTTGAGTTTTGCTGACGGCTTCTCTTTATTGCCGCAGTCTCCGCAAGCAAGAGATGCGCTGATCAAGCTGGCATCCGCCCAAAAAGCACCACGCAGCTTTCCCCCTAGATGTATTGGCGGGGCAATTCCCCGAATGTTTCAAGCGTGAACAGGAGCTTCTGTTCACGCAACTTCTCTTCTAGCGAATGGAGCGTGTTGCCCGTTTACTTCGCATCGAATGCATGCTGCTTTCGACCTAAACTTACTTTTCACGTCAATGTCTGGACCATAATTGAGCAATTAGGACGGAACTAGCAGCGGAGAGCACAGTAGTTCAATTCCTGATGAACAAGTAGACATCAAAGACTTCTAGAAGGGCAAATAGTTCAAGTAATATTTGTGCAAGAATTTTCAACCTTGAGCTATACACATCTATTCAGCAGAGCTTTTCATCTCTTCACTGTTTCTCCGGTGAAGACGTTCAAAGCTTTGAACAAAGGAGGCCCACTCCCTCTCCGGATCGACGGAGGGGTAGCTGGAAATACGATTGTAGTCTTAGTGGCGTATGCCAAGTTTATTTAGACGCTACTATTCTGAAGTGCTGTTCAGAAGCCGTGTCTGCAGCCCTTTTCACTGGATGAGCTATTTGCATGGTTACTTGTTGGAGCTCATCGCTTTCTGCACATTCCATCATTCGTCCGGCACCGGGGTTTGTCTGTGCTCCTACTTGCCTTTTTGGCAGCGAAGAACCCTTCAGAACGAAGTTGGCTTATGTGCTTCACACTTAGAGCTACTCACAGTTGCAGCCTTCTCCTATCTGAAGGGATGCCGTTCGGCTAGCAGCTCGTTCATGCATCGATCACTTGTGACGTTTCACTAGGAGCCTTCTGCTGCGTTTCTATCATCACCGTAGCATTTTGGCATTCTGGCACTGCTTCTGAATTCTGTACTCTCTAAGCCCCTTTATCCCTTCGCTGCTCTAAGATGCTGGCGATGCAGACTCTGGATTCCTCCAAAAAAAACTCACACAATAAGTTAAGCCTAAATTCACTGCTGAACTTAGATATCTAATTTGCCTACATGACAGCTATACTGGGAGAGACTGAAAAGTTCGAAATCACTGTAGCAGTGCCTTCACCACGGCCGTCACGTGCAAGTACACTAGTTTGGCGCTGCAGCGCTTTTGTGCTACATTAGTGTCAGAGTATATTCGGTTGATTAAAAAAAAAACTGTTTAACGTTAAAATAAGTTCCAGATATGGGTCTTCCTGAAGTGGTACGGAAGTGTTTGTGGTGCGATTGCTCTCGTGCTGTACACATCACTGCAGCCCCATCAGTGTCTCTGGATTTCCCCCCGAATCTCAGGTCTACATGGCGGCCAAAACTTTTCATCTCGTTGGATTAACTTATTGGAATTTTTAAGTATGCGCTCACGACTGGTTCTGGAGGCATTAGAGCGCGCGGCGGCACAGAAGTAGCGCAGACGCAGCCCAGACAACCATGGGATGAGTCAAAGCTCACGTCGACTCTAAATAAATGGGTCTTTTGAACTCTCCGCTTGGATATATGTATTAAGGAATAAGCAGACAAAGGACATCAGGTGTCATTTAGTCCTATTGGCGAGAGCTTTTCATCCATTGAATGTCAACCACACTCCAGCGCTCTCGAAGATTCCGCGTGTGACCGCCTGGGAAACTCTCCATTGAGAGTCTGAAATTCTGTGAAGTTTAGCTCTAAATGAAATGTCAGACGTACGCGGAGAGCCTCTGAAGGGCACTGCCCTATACAATACCATCTTGGAAAGGTTCCGAGCAGTCCCTGATGCAGAGGGACGGCTGGACTGCGGTGAGCTAGTTGCGCGTGACGGGGAGTGGGTTTGTAGGTTAGATGGAAGCCAACAACATTTCACCGTAGTTACGTGAAAGGCGAACGGGTTGCTCATCCTATTGGCTCTGCCTCGGTAGTCATTTGCCACAAAGCCCGATGCATTGTCTGCTCGGTGTGACAGCATACAAACCCATTCAACAAAAAAGTCGCCACAATGCCGCTGCATCTAACTGGATTTCAGCTAAAGCGTGTAGGAGGCAAGATTTACTTGGCGGCTACACCACTGCTCCAGCTTCAATTTTGAGTCCTTTCTGCAGAGAAACTTGCCGATGCGGCGCTGCAGATATCTGCAGTCTACGAGCTGGTCTTCGGCAGTGGATTTATATCCCGGCATCTGAAGGTACAGCCACGCGGGACGTGATGAATGTCTCTTTCGTAGAAAATACATTGCCATAGGGCTCAACTGAGACTGTCCAACCTGCAGCTTTCGCAACATTCCGCATTATCTAGTTAGTTCAGGAAGTTCAAGAACACGTTGCCATATCTTGGGAAGGCCAATACAGGGAGGCCGACAACGCAGGCCAGGGATGTGGAAGGACGTGGGATTTGGGAAGGAGTAAATTCAGGGAGGTTCCACTTGCCCTGTTCTTTGTGCGGCGCAGCAAGACATCGCGAGTTCATCTGGCCGGATGAGGGAAGCAGCAAAAGCCCTGCGCAATTCTCGAGGCGGCAGTGTGGTTACTGCTGATGAGCTAATTGCATGGGAGCTCAAGGAACTGGGAATACCCAAAATGAGGAAAGATCAAAACAGCGGCGTGAAGGGGATGCTGTGGATGAAACGAGCGCTTGACTTCGTCTTCACTCTCATCTGCAACACGTTCGGAACCATGAAGGATGCAACAGTCAAAGAATGTGCATTGGATGCGTATGATCGTGTTCTCAAGCCTTATCACAGTAAGCCGGAGAAACCGGTTCTAAATCCTACATACCTTAAATTCACATAGTTGTGAAATTACATAGTTGTAAACAGTGCACTGAAACATCATGACAAACTCGGGGAGAAGCTGTTCAAATCATAAGTGCGTCAGGACAAGAGGAAGGCGAATGATTTATGTGTGGTTCTTGAATACAGGTTTCCTGGTCTCTAACATCGTTTCTCTTGCATTTAGCCTTGCACCTTCGAAGGATGAGTTCGTCAGGTAATTGTAGCTCCAGTATGCACAGCTTGACGCCTGCGGCACTGCTTGGGAGGCAGGAGCTTTTTGCTTGGCTGCAAACCTTCCAGTAAATCCCAGCGAACGCTTTGCAGAAAGACGGAATTTATGGTTAGGCTATTCCCTAGTTTTCTACTTGCTGTTGCAATTTCTTCTGCCTATGAACAGGCGTCTGGGCTTTGAAATGGACGAAGCCGAAAACTGTCTCGGCAGCATCCAACAGGTGGTCTTGTAAGTAGATACACACTGTTTCCGATACGTGTCGAGGCAAAGTCCAGCTCTACGCCTCTACTTGTAAATCCAGTATGTCGTCTGGCATCATCACGCAGTGTCAGTGGTTATGTCGCCGTTGTGGCACCGTGATGCTTACTCCATTCAGGCCAGTTATCGCGCGACTGAATACTTTGCTGGAAGAAGCCAACTGCAATTTTCCTGACAAGGCGTGAGGGATGTCCGTGACGAGGGTGCTCAACACCGAAAAACAGGAAAAACACTGGCATTCGTCTCATCCCGTTTTCGCCGCCTACGCCAAGAGGAGCTGAATGTGTCGCTGTCAACGTTTTTCTTTGTAGTGAATGGCCTCCGCCGTGGCAGTTGCAGCAGCGTCTGACTGGAGCGGTAGACACACGCAAGGCTGCCCACAGGTTTTCGGCGAAGTCGCTGCGAAATATTCTTCAGCAGCAGCACAACGGCCCTTGTTTGGTGCCCGTTCCTCCGTCGCTGCATCATCACGGGCAATCTGGTGAAGCCTTATGTGTACAGAAATAATGCCTAATGTCTGGGTAACGTAAATCTGTCGTGCACGGCTCCTGCGCTATATTGAATGTGGTGCCCCGAGACCGTCTGTCTTTTTGTGGCCCACAAAGCTGCAGTGGGTGTCCTTTGCCGTCTCAGACAACTTCTGCGGCGTAGTAGCGAGGCGCCATTTGCGCGACACTCAAGTGCAGTCTAATGCTTAAGTATGCTTAGCAAGTTTCGGACTTCAACCACGGGCATTTGATTGAAAATGCTGCTGCCCAAGAAATCGGCCGGCTGATGGGTCCTCCCCCCTTCATCTGACACGGGTTTATCAGTATTTACACATACGAAAGAAGAACTGCATCCCAGCAGCTCTGCTCTATTCCCGCAGCACACACCAGCCTCAGCCGCTGCACATGCCGTAGTTTTCCTGTCACACTGCGAGGGCTCCTCCATTGTCGACCACTTCCACCTGGCACAAACCCACATATACAGAGATCTGCCGGGTGGCTCCAAGCAGTGTGCAGCTGGCGCTTCGTAGCAATTTTCTATGGGGAGCACGGGCAGCTCGTGGCTCATGAGCTCATGTATCCTCCATCCAGTGCACATACAGATAACAAAGCTAAACAGAACTGGGGTTGTCACGTACCCATTGAAATCGCCTGGAATTGTCGAGAAGAGTCAGCTCCTGGTACTCCATCCAAACGTGGCGTTCTTCATCCCTTACCCTCCTCAAGGTGCGACGCCGAACTCCGCTTACGGTTTGAAAGCTGACGTCGTGCCACAGTGAGTCCTTCTTTGATTCACGACATGCAGAATCATCTCCCTCTGGTCCTGAGTCGTTTAACTTTTCCTCAAACTCTGAAGATGCGTGAAGCCACGCGCATGGACTGAGTACCCATCCGCAAAGGCCAGAGGGAGGTGTTAATGCGTCAGAAACAGAACGCTGTTCTTTGCGCCGTGGCTGACTTTCCGTGGTACAGTCTTGCTGCTGCCGGTGCTGCTGCTTTCTCACTTTTTGTGTTGACGTGTCAAAACCACAGCAGTTTACTCTGCGTCGTGGCTGACTTTCCGTGGTACGTTCTGGCTGCTGCTGCTGAAGCATTCTCACTTTTTGTACGGGCCCAGCAGTAGAGACGGCTAATTGCTTATTGCCGCTTTTGTCCGTATCGGATTCATCTTTCTTCCTGTCTTTGGATGTATTCACATTAGAGGAAGCATTCTTGTTTCCTCGAATGTCAATTCTAGGAGGGCTAGGCCCGTCTGGAAGTAGGTGGGTTTCCCGAGGGCTTGTTTTTTCACAGTGCGCAACTCCTTCCGCATCTCTTCCACATTCACCTGATTTAGGCCACAAGGGCAGCTGTCTTCTCAAGCCGCACCAGCAGCACCCATACAGCCAAGGAGTGCCAGTAGTCTGCCCACTAGGGTCATCGGAAACTAGAGGCTCTGGCATCTCCATTTGCACTTCCGGCAAGCACTCCGAATAAACAGCCCTCCTGCTTTCCTTCTCTTCCGCCGAATTATCTGCAATCGTCATTGAAGTTAGATCTACTCAAGACAAAACACATGCGGGGACTCAGCACCTCTGCAGCTATGTACATGCCTTTACATACTTAACTAGCCCCAGCACGTTTTACAGAGTCTCAAAGAAGTCTACAGATCAGTGCCTATTCAAAATAGGAAGTGATCGGTAGCATTTACTCGAAACGTTGGTACAGCTTGCTAAAGCCTTTTAACATGCAGAGGGAAGTTGCTAGGGCAAAGAGGCGGTGCTCCTGAGGGCCTCGTTGGTCAACCAGCCTCGCGCTTCGGCTCTGTTCATCTCCTGGAATATGCTCACCGCTTACTGCAGACAGCAGGAAACTGTCTTCCATGCAATGTTGCGCAGCTACCTCGCGAGGCGGAGAAGTAGGCAGCGCCGAGACTCCAGCTGCTGCTGCCCGGTCACGGGTGCTTGTTATGGAGCATGACGACAAGGGCGTCGGCAGGGCGTCAGGCTCAACATCAGTAACATGGTCGTGGCTGTCGAGACCCTCTGCATCGGAATTGTCTTGGCCGGCCAAATTGGCCTCGGCTTTTCCTGCTCCTCTGTGCGCCGCTGGCTCCAGCTGCACGCCCCTGCGTTTGTTCTGTGTCGCACATGTTGAGTCTCCCTGAGTCCTACGAGCATCAGAAATCTTTATGGAGCGTAAATAAGATGAGATTGACGGCATGAGTCGACCAAGCCAGCCGACCACTGCAGCTCTAGATTTTGTAGAGAGCTTCCGCTCCACTGAAGTCAGCACATCATGGCGTTCCTCAAGAGCCAGCATTCTGCAATGCGAGCAAGCAGCAATATTACATTTAGCCACTGGAAGACCAAAAACCTGAGTTGTATGATGATCTTCTTCCTCGTGAAACCCGCGCCGAAATTTGGCACAAAGTGAGCCACTTGAATCTAAGCTACCTGCGCCTTAAATGAAATGGACGGGGAAAGGCGAAAGTTCGGAAGGCAATGAGGCGCGAAGGCAGAGAGTAGAAGATTATCCAGCAAATCTCAGTTCATGTTTGGCTGAACACATGGTTGTAGAGGGAGATGCTGATTAAATTAAACACTTAAAAAATGTAGTGGAAGGACCTTCTGAAGCATGCACCATCTGTATGATTTCCAGCACGAACCTTAGCGGATAACGCTCAACATGCCGCCTACAAAGCAGTGCCGATGATTGGAAACAGGAATATGCACGTTGTGTGAGACATAGGAGTGAAAGAATCCCGTGTTCTAAGAGAGCTGCTTAAATAAATGACGGATTTGATGTTGCGCGAACCTGCGTCTATCGGCGTAAGTCCTGTACAGGATGTCGCCAACATCTTCTCCCCTGAAAAGTTTCTCAGATATTCCGTTCCTTTTGTGTCAGCAATATTAAACCAAAAGTAACGAACCGATGATGTGCATGCTACCTGGCAACGGGCCTATGAGTAGGCATCGGTCCACTGAACTAGCCAGTCGGCTGCTGCCTCCAACTCATCCTCGAAGCATGGCAAAGGGCCTAACACAAGGAGCTCCCAAAAGAGCGAAAACTCAAAATATGTAAGGTAAAATATATATTTCGCTTGTCTATACTCTCTTAAGAGGGAATGTTGAGCAAAAAGCATGCAGGAGGGCCCCGCAGCGTCTTCAGGAGCTGAGTTCCAAGAAGGCTTCCGAGTACTGTATCAAGGACTGAAACAACTATCTTCGTAAGAGATATTGTCCTTAAGAAGACAATTTTGTGTCCTGTGCATTATGGGATATGCTCTACTGTGAGGTTGCAAAAATTCCGTGCGCCGACGCTCGCAAGTTGCGAACAGGACGCTTGTACAGACTATACGAAGTCCGGGTCTTCAGCTTGCGCGATCTTGAACTTCATTATCTTTTCAGTGTTGCCTGGGCCTAATAGTGTGATTTTTGAGAACGCTTTTATACTGGACTGACTATCTATTGGATCTCATGGCAGTGAAATTCCCTTCTGCTGAAGTTGTGCCACTGGAAGATGACTGTTTTCACTGGGTCTTCTTGAGCTATTCTGCAAAGTTCTTATACTTGTATATTGGGCCTCTACTTCAGGCTCGTTTAGTATGACCCGAGGTGTGGTGGAGGTGATCTACTGAGGGCGACTGCTGGCTGACACGATGGATCTCTTCATTTTGAGTTGTCGACTTGCCTTTGTGTGTTTCCTACTTCGCCTAGTGCAAACTCACATGCTTAAGCATTAAAGCTATATTTTCTAAAATGCCCTAGACACATTTCTATTAATACATAATCAAGTGCATGGAAGTCAGCACCATAGTGTAAGTAGAGGACACTCAGTAGTCATTTTTTCACGATAACTCAGTCTCGTAATGATTTTACGTCGTTAGAAAGCTTGGAGAATAATATTGTACTGCTGGCACAACAGCCATGATTAGTAGGGCAGAGATCTGTGCTGGTGGACTGATACAGGCTCAGTTCAAGGATAGATGAGTCCCACATTCCCAAAATGCAAGTACGACGGTTAAAAATAACTAAATTGGGTCTTTGATTGCAAAACAAATCACTAGGAAGAGAAACTAGGTAGTTGTGGACACTAGAATGCGCAGCACTACAGCGTAGCCCAGAAATGGCTTTTAGGTCCCTTTCAAGGAATTATGGTTCAATGTATATAGACTTGCATACTGAATAGAAATTAATAACCACGCAAGAGCACATAATGACCAAGAGATCAGGCCTACTATGGTGCTCTTCAGGTCAACCCAGGGCTTAGAGATCGCAAGAGGCCCTCTAGTTGCATTGCGTGGCAATGCACTCACAAAGAAAAGGTCAAAGCCGGACAAATGTACCCTTGGGGGGACTGGCATACAATGGTGCTGCTTTAAACATTTTCTTGTACTACCTTTGTCTCTAGTAAGTAGAAACACGTATGAACCTATGTAGCCAGAAAAAACGAGACACGAGGGAGCCAAGCAGGACTTTGCTACAAATGAAGAAGCCATTATTTCTTTGAAATGGAAACTCATGTTTTATTTTCTTAGTTAGGCTTGTACTTTGTTGGGCCTTGAATGCCTGCCCTGCTTCCCTGTAGCTACTGTCAAGTCTCAACATTAGGTAGATTTCTGCGCATTCTTTTCTACAGAAGGCTTTCGTTTTCTCATATTTCTAGTGCCCTTGAGCTCTAGGTGGCGCGAACTCTGCAGTCACCGAACGTCTTTTGCTGCCACTTTGTGTGGAAAGTGACTCAGTTCCCGGTCACAGAGTTGCTCGAGCACTTTGGTTATGTAAGATTCGATGCGAGAGAGCTCGCATTGCTGTGGCATGAAGAGCCTTCTGGCGTATCGCGACTTCAAAAGCTTTGGTTTTGGTTTCAGCAATGACTACTTGTATTGTATGCCAATTCGAGGTCAAGGAAGAGACTCTCCTGGTGCCGTTCGCTACATTGATTGTTAATGCGCATCTGTTTCGTGGTACAGTTAATGCGTTCGCTTTGTCCATAGCTCAGGAAGCAAAGAACATGACACGCTTAATGTTGAGGCGATTGCAGAGCTGTTCCATTAGTTCCTATTGAAGATGAAGGCTTCTGATGGAAATGAGCTCCTTAGAGAACCCCTGGTAGTGAATAACACAGCCAGCATAAACTTCAAGAGTGCCACTTGCTGTGGACGTCTTCTTCGTGGAAATGAAGTGAGCCTTTTTGGCCAGATAATCCAGGAAAACCAGGAGTTTCCATGCGAAATCTGCTAACTTCCCTACTGCTCGCTTGCGGAATGCCAGCTGATCGGTTGGCATATTGTATATGGGGGCCCCACCAGTGAGTCTGCATGGCAGCAGTAAAGTTTGATGGCCATATGGACCTGTTGGTCGCTGCCCTGCCAGTCAGATATTTAGTAGCCGTGCCTAATGCTTTTTCAGCACCTCAAAGGCGTGGGGTAGCTTCTGCGCTGCGTCTCACCGCATCCACTGTTCGAGCTATGTGGAGTCGCGGATGGCGTTGCACCGGCGACTTTGCCTGGTCAGCGTCACCGAGAAATGCCAGAACTGGGACGCTGGAACGGGCAGCAGAGGCTCTACTAAACTGCTCTGCTAGAAGACAGATTAGCCTTTCTTGGTATTCCTTAAATATGTGAATGATGGAGAGTTGTAGGGTTAGTAAGGTGTTAACTCCCTGTTGCTTAATCGCTAGGTGAATCGCAATAACCTGAGCTGTGCTCAGTGGCTCCTTTATAGCCATTCTGGCCTTTGCTTCGCGGCATGCCTTGCAATGTTAAATAGTGCGCTGAAGAAATGTAGCCCCCTCTGCCGCAGTCGTTAGGGACGCCTTTTTGGCCAGCATCTCGTAGGCTTGTTCAGCTGGAGTTGGCCCCCGCGTCCTCTGCGGCTGCTTCTCTTGCTACTCTGCTTATTGTGTCATTTTGAGCGGTACATTGCTCCATTGAGCATGAGCGCAGATTCGTTTCCTTCCGGACTGAATGTACGAGGAGGGCTAGCTAGTTTAGTCAAATGAACAACAGACCCCGTAAGGAAGCGCTTTGCTAGACGCATACTCCCAAAGCACACAGGCAGCCTCATCACCACAAAGTCGACATTTTGCTGCTCCCTATTCGCAACGGCGAAAAATGGATTCCTTGTTGTAAACGCCGTACGCGCAGTCCCAGTCACTCAGTTCTGATCGGGCTAAGAAAACTATGCAGTGGGCCCTTTGCAGAAGCGCTGTTGTCTAAGTATTTCAAAAACAAACGCTCCGGTTCCCACACTGCACAGTAAACCCTCTCCATCATCTGCCAGCTCCCTAAAATTTTGCTCTCGCCAACAGTGCGGTCTCTATCAGAAGCTTCCTGCGTTTGGTTTCCTTAATCTTCCTGACAGCCTGCGTGCTGACAGGAGTTCCACCAGATTGTTATCCCTAATAGCCAACATTTCTTCCTCTTTTCAACCTACAGCCTGGGCCCTGCTGTTTTCTCTACACTTATGGCATCCTTTCATTGTTGCTTCAGGAGCCTCTGCCTCCAGCTGAAGGGGACTTCGATGGTATGCAGCATTCTGCTGACAACAAACAACACCGCTTCACCTTGTCGCTGGCGCCTACGAGGTTTGTCTCCTGTAGCTCCCAGGCTTTGCCGTATGAGAAATGCCTGTGCTTTCCCTCAATGTGGGGCCTGTTAGTGCCCGTTTTCTTTGTTTAAAATTTTGGCCCTTTGCCTTTATTTGGTTGGAGCAGCGCAATCCTTATAGTAGTGTCCGTCATCTCCGCACCTCTTGCAGCTGCGCGGCAGAGAACATATGCCTTCTTGTCACTTGGTGCCATCCGACATCGCCACCCCTTCTTCGCAGTTTTCTAGCGGGTAACCAGTAGAGGCGACGAAACCAGGAATAGTGTTTCTTGAAGCCTATGCTCTGCTGCATAGCTGCCTTCGTTTTGAAGAGTGGAGCCTAACTCTGTATGGTCCCTACTTAGGGTGTCGCATCATGAGAGGCCTCGGTGTGTTGCCCTATTTAGCCTGTAATGATATAGGAAGATCTTCGAAAATTACTAGGCAAAAGCCGTCTCACTGGCCTCACGGACTATGTTGCATTCACTTGTCGCCGCTGGTCTTATGGGCTATGCTAGATTCAGAGACAGAAGCCTGTTTAGGGCAGTATGTGTGGATTTTAACCTGAATTCTTCCCAGCTGCAGGGACAGTGAGGACAGTGTAGCACCACAAAAAGCCCCCCTTATGCGCCCAAAACTGCCCTCTCCTCGCAAAACGTGGTTAACAAGATACTGCTATTAAACTGGGTGAATAGGGGGAAAACCGACGTGCCAGTATGCAGGGACCGAA